TCTCTCCGCAGGCCGTGCCGCCCTGGGAGCGCCGCACCTTCCCGCTCTCCTACGACCCCCGGACGGAGTGCGAGGACCAGCCCGACCCCCAGGACCGGCTCTCGCGCTGCACCCGCCGCACGTCGGGCAGCAAATCCTCCCGCGAGTGCGATGGCACTTCGTCTTCGCCCAGCCTGCCCAGCCTCAAGAGCCGAGCCCCGCTGGCCCCCCCCTCCTCCTCCTCTTCCTCCTCCTCTTCCTCCTCCTCCTCCTCCTCCTGCTCCGCAGTCCTGCGGCCAGCGCACAGATAGAGACACACGGGGAGACATGAGCAAACCAACACACAGAACTAACTCTTGGCATTAAAGCTTCCAAAATCTGCGTTTGATATTCAAACATCCTGCCGGGAATTTTCACAGTTTTTAGTGAATTTAAGGAGTTTAGAAACTGTTTTTTGTTTTCTTTTTTTTTCCTTTTTTTTTTTTTTTTTTTTTTTTTTTTTTTTTTTTTTTTTTTTTTTTTTTTTTTTTTTTTTTTTTTTCTCCATGTTTCCTCGTCACATGAATGAGCCCCCAGATTACTCCCAGCGGAGTGAAGCCTCGGGAGGGGAGCAGCCCACCAGACCCCCTCCCCTTTCCTCCCTCCTTTAGGTGTATAAAACTAGAGCACAGGATTTAGCTGACTAGCAGATTTCGGGGATAGTTTTTCCCACCAAAAGGGTGTCGTTTTCTCTTAACCCACTCCCCCCACCCTGAAAGGTTTTAGTGGAGTGAAATTAGTGGTGAAAAGTGATGTCTTGGGATTGCAACCTTCACCGTCTGGCTGTCCTCACCTGCAGAGTGCCCACCTGCACTTCACCCTCCTGCGTTTTCCTGCCCCAGGTTGTAGTTCAGGTATCCAAAGGGGGAATTCTGTCCCCTGATCCTCGCTCTGCCCCTGGGGACACCTCTTCCTTCCTTCTCCCCTGGCTCGGATCAGCCGTGCTTCTGGCTGCATTCTGGGCAGGGGGAAAGGAGGGACCTTGTGGCTGCTCCACTCAGCTTGGCATGGCAGGGGTGGGAGTTGGGAAGCACCTTGTGCACGGCCGGTGTGTGGCGAGGGCAGGGAGGGGAGGAGTCCCCGATGCTTTCAGCAGGAGCAGAATTCCCGGAGTACTTGGATGCCCTTTGGGCTGAGGCTGGAGCTCTGGCCCGGCTGCGGGGCCGGGGGTCCCGCGGGTGGGCTTGTGTCAGAGCGGGGGGCAGAGAGGGAAGGATGGAGGCAGGAGCAGCTCCTGGGGGATCGGGGTCACCGCAGCTTCGCTCCGCTCCCGCACCGTCCCAGCCCCGGTGCCGGTTCCGTTTCATTTCGGGGCGCCCGCCGTGCCCCCTCCTGACCGGTATTTGAGTTTGAAGCCCAGTTCGTTCTCCCCGTGCCGCACCCGCAGCGATCCCGGACCCCGCGCACCGTCCCCATCGTGACGCTTCCCGGTCCTGACGGTGTGGCTCCTGGGCCCTGTCCTGTTGCTAGCATTGTGCCTGTCTTATGTATAATCACATCACCAAAAAAAACGGGAAAAAATACAAAGGACTTTTTTTTTTTCCATTTTGTAATCGTAAAGAAATAGTCGCTGAACTGCTTCATGGTCGGGGTTTTCACAATTTTCAACATGATCTTGTGGTTTTGGTTCTGTTCTAGTTTAAAGGATCCGTCATCGTTTCTTTCAAACAAAAACCCAACAAACAACGGCGCTACCATATCCCTCTGCAGAAGTGCTTTTCTATTTATAAGGTTGAAAATTCTGAATAACCCTTTTAGCATTATAAAAACCACACAAAAAAAAAAACCCACCTTGTATTTTGTAAATATTTTCTTTTCCTGCTTTGAGCTGTGTAATGTCCTTGTTATATAGAAATGCTTTTCTTCCGAGAAGCTGATCTTTGTTAATGTCTTGATTCTGTTGGCAAAGCACAAATGTGCTTATAAAAAAAAAAAAAAGAAGAAAATATTAAAAAAAAAATTAAAACGTAATATTCCATTTGATGAGTGTGAAACGCTGGGCTGGGACAGGGAAGGGGCCCTCAGTGCACTCGGATCAGCTGCTTCCCTCCCGCGTTCCCGTGGCCTCTTTTCCTGTGTGATGTTATTTTCCAGCAGTTAATGTCAGCAAGAGGAGGAACCTCCGGGCTGGGAGTTATTTTATTTTACATTTCCGGGGTTAACTGGGTGCTGCTGGTTCTCATCCGGGGACTGCTGTGTGCACCCCTGTGTGCCCCAGGCAGAAGTGTGGGGGCTTAAAAAGTAACAGGAAAACTGCAGACCAGTCCCTGTCCCCGTGTGCTGCCCCAGTCAATGATCCTGTGGATGGGCCCCCCACCCCACGTCCCCCCATGCAAAAGAGGTGCCAATTACCATTATCGTAGTAATGACTTTATTTCCAAATTCACTTTTACGGCAACAGTGTAAACCAGTTGTTAAACACACGATACACTATGGACACCCACAGACAGAAGCTAAGCTAGAATGATACACTGAGATCAAACCTTCCCTCCCCGGCGCGGTGCGGGGCTGCCAACGCCACACAGGCTGGCACCGACCTTTGCTAACACGCAGAATCTTTTGGAGTGCAGAAATACGATTTTTTTTTTCTTTTTTTTTCTTTTTTTTTTTTGTTAATCAGTGCCGGTTTTAACCCTTTTCAGACCCAAGATGTGTGTGGAGTAAAGGAAGAGCCGGGGCTCAGGCTGTCCGGCTGCTCACCGGAGCCTCAGGCCTGGGTCTGAACGCGGGGTCGGGGCAGGGGACGTGGCTCGGGCTGCTGGAGGGGACAGCGGTGACGTGGGGGATGTAAAGGGCTGTCCTGGCTCCCCACAGCCCCCGGGGGGACCAGGGCTGAGGACACTCGGAGTAGGAAGGGGCTGCTCACCGGAGCTCCGAGCGCACCAAGGGCATCCCACCCCGGGTGCCGCTGTCCCTCAGGGGCTGCACGGAGGGGACAGGGGTGGCACAGGACGGGCGAGCTCAGCTGCCCCGTCCTGCAGCCCGGGGGGGTACGGAGGTGATGCTTTGAGGGTTCTCCCAACTTGCTCGTTCTACAAAGGACAAAAAGCGCGGCGGCTCCTACAGCGCTACAGAGTCGGGGACGGAGCACAGAGCCTTACAATCATGGAGTCAAGTGAACGGAGCGAGTGACAAGCTGGACATGATGGTGGTGCTGGACCAGCCTCTCCCCAGCCATAAAGCAGCTCCTGGGGCTGCAGAGAGAAGGGTTGGGCCCCCCCCAGACCATCTCCATCCATAGCCAGGCCTGCTGCAGCCCAGCCCCACAGAGGGACAGCGGTGACAGCGGGTTCACAGCTCCCACGGGATGGGAGCAGGTCCTGCCCAGGGAAAAACTGCTGCTCTGCCCGGGAACAGCTGCTCTGACAGCCTTGGTGGCACCCAGCCACCACCCCAAGGACAACCAGGGGCCTGACCCCCTGCCAGCCCTGTTGGACCAGGATTCCATACCTTGCTGGGAAAGCACGGCTTTCCCTGCAGCCCCACCGGGGCCCCTCTGCCCTCCCACCTCCAGCTGAACCCCCAGAGCTCGGCTGGGGCCCTGGGGGAGACAGGGCAGGAGGACACGCAGCTGCACTGGTGGCATCTCGGCCTCTTTGGTTGTAGAGGGAAGGGGCAGGCGGGGACAGCCCCGGGACCCCCTTGTGCTCCCCAGGGAGCCGCAGGAACAGAAGCAGCCAAAGCAAAAGCTGGACTGGCTCCTGTCCCCGAGTGGTGCTGGGGTGGTCAGTGCTGTGTGGGGGGTGAGATGCTGCCAACTCACACCGGGGAGTGCCCGGAAAGGGGCTTCAGTGCCAGGGAGCAGCCGCTGGCCCCGGGCTGGGGGAGCTGCTGCCGCCTCCCCCGCGTCCTGCCGGGGTCTCACCGCTGCCACCGGCACAGCAGAGCCATGGAGCTGCCACCTCCGCCATCGCTGAGCTGACCTTGCAGGGAAAGAAAAAGAACAACCCAAAAATGTCACAAGCTGCACCCAAATCCAGGAGCCATCCCAGCCCTGGAGCTGTGAGTGCCCCTCCTGCAGGCTCCTGCTGCGGCACCGCACCGGGGCTGGGCCGCGGAGCCGGCGTGGGGCAGCTCAAAACTACTTACAGCATTTATTTTTCAAACACATGCTCGTTTATGAAAACAATCACCCTGGCACGGTCCAAGCATATACAGACAAATCTACTCTACGACACGAGGGGCTGCCAAAGGAATGGGGAAAAGCCTCTACTCATCCACTCAGCGGTTCCAGCACAGCCACGGGAGGGGAACGGCCGCCCGGGCCCCTCGGAGCGGGCACCCGGCGTCGCCGGAACTCCAGCTGCCGGAGCTGAGAGCGGGTTAGGGGGTACCTGGCCGTTATCTTCATACACATCTCGGCTTTCGGAAATAAAAACAAAAGGTTTCTTCCAAATCAGCAGGCAAATTTAACGCGGGGAGGGAGGGCGCCTCCCCGCAGCCCTGGCTGCGCACCCGGGACGCGGCAGGACACGAGCTGGGCGAGGTCACAGCCCCTTCCCGGGAGGGCCACCGGCTGCCCCGTGCTGCTGCGGGGGCTCGGGTCGGCGTCGTGCTGCGGCCGCCCCTCGCCCCTGCCCGCCTTGCCGGCGGCCCGGGCAGGGACAGCGAGGGAGCGGGGCCGGGACGGGCTGTGCGCTCCGAGGAGCGGGGGAGAGGAGGTTTTGTACCTCATAGTGTCACTGATTTTGAAGTCCTGGAGCTAGAGCTGAATGAACAGTAAAAGCAGGTTAAATCATTAACCAGTTAGGGACGGGGAAGCAGCTGTAAAAGGAACAGAGGAAGAAGGCCAGATTATTATTTTTGTTTCTTTTCTTTTTCGTTTCCTTTCCTTGTCTTCTCTCCTGGTGGCCGCCGTGCCGCGATCACAAGCCCTGCTTGGCCAGCGAGGCGGACACCTCGTCGGCTAGCGTGGCCAGCTGGGGGGAGTCCACCAGGTTGATGCTGCCGGTGGAGGAGACGTTGCTAAGGCGGCGCGGGGAGGCATCTCCGGAGATGGTGGGGGACTTGTAGACGATTTCGGCGCCGTGGTCGGTCTTGGCTTTGGCGTTCTCGCGGAAGGTCAGCTTGTGAGTCTCAATCTGTGAGGGAGAGGAGGTTCAGGGCCACGGCGGGGACAGGGGCCCTGCCAGAGCTGGGAGCAGAGCTCGGAGCAGCGGACCAGCGTCCCCAGTGCCCCAGGCCTGGGCACGTCCCAGGCTCCAGAGGGGACAGCAGCACCTGAGCATCTGGATGCTGCCAAATCCTCCCCAGGCGAGGTCCTGGGTCCCAGAGCGCAGAGGGCACAGCCTGGGCTGCTGCCACTCCTCTGGCAGCGATTATGGGGGCACAGGGCACGTGAAGCTGCCCCTCAGCCCCCGGAGCTGCTCCCCGGGGCCAAACCCCTCTCCCGGTGAACTGGATCTGCTTTGCTACTTACAGGTGCCCTCCCCAGCCGAGTGCAAGGCCGGGGGCTGGCTCTCCGTGGGGGTGAGTGGCTCCAGCACCAGGGCCTGGAGCCCAGCGGGGTCTGGGCTCGGGGTCCAGGTCTTGTCTTCCTTGCCTTTCTCTCTCTACGGGTGAAGAAACCCACCCAGGGCAGTGGGGGGCAAAAAATGCATCAGCAATAAAAATCACAATCCAAGAAATGTCAGCCAGAAGGAAAAAGACAAAAAATATAGAAAAGAAATAGAAAACTGGGCAGAAAAAGATCTGAAAAACAGGGCCATTCACTGACTCATAGAAAGAAGATTGGCTGCCTTTGGAGCCAGGGAGGAAAACTCTCCAGAACGGCACGGGAGAGCACAGGGACTTGGGCAGAGCATGGAGCACCCAGCTCCCCACGGCAGAGCAGGTGCAGGAACCAGAGTTCAGCCTAAAGAGCTGTGGGCTGGGAGTCCCAGTGTGGATCTGAGTGTCACAGAGCAAGGAGGGGGCTTGGGGACACGGGAAAGGGGCAGCAGAGCTGCACCTGGGCTCAGCTACACCCACGGCCTCCTCCAGCCTGGGCTTAGGCAGGAAGGCTGAGGTGGTGATGCCGCTGCTGGGTCAAAGCCTTGCAAAGAAACTCCCCTGCAGAGGACAAGTTCTTCAAACTATGGCCCAGTGAATGTGCCAGGACGTGACAGAGCCATCACTGGAATCACAAAACCGATGGCAAAAGGCTCAATGAAGCACAGGGGAGGCTGATGCACGGCAGAGAGAAGGGTAAGGAAGTCAAGTGGTCCCGCAGTCAGAGGCCAGCTGGAGGTGAGAGCTGGAGCTGCACAGAGAACACGTGGCCAAGAACAAAGTGCCAAAATACAGGAGCTGAAACAGAACCTTCCCCTCCCATTGAGACAAAGTGCTGCAAAAGCAAGCAAGATAAAACCCGCTTTTCCCTGGGGGAGCTGAACCCTGCGAGTTGCCAGGCTGGAGTCTCAGCTCTGTGCTTACCTGCTGTTCTCACCCCCCTGCCTGCTGGGGACGTGGTGGCCTTGAAGCCCAGCTGTGGGGCTGTTTTATTTGGCCAAGACTCACTGAAGTCACCATCAAAGCCTCGGTGGGAACAGCTCAGCCCCAGCTCACTTCCCTGACCCTTTTGTCTTTCAATTTAGACCCCCCAAACGCTCCCCTCCCTCCACAGAGGCCTCGGTCAGGAAGGAGACATCACCTTCAGGAGGGCCAGTTTGCTGCCAAGTCACCGGTTCTAACTCAAGCTGAGCCTTTAAAGCTCTGCAGCTGCCCAGCTGGCAGCGCTGAGGCCCAGCAGGGCGGTGGCACTGGCTCTGGGAAGGGTCTGAGACACAGAACACTTGAGAGGCAGCAGCAGGAGCAGGAAACCACAGCAGAGGCCGTCACTGGCTCCTGCTCACTCAGCTGGCGCAGAGGAGGGACCTGGGGACATCCTGGCAGCAGGGCCACAGCTCTGTCCCCCTCTGTCCCCTCACACCCCCAGCAGCACAGCCGTCCCCAGGGCGCCTTTACCTTTTTATTGCCTCCTCCAGGGACGTGGCTGATGTTATCTAGGGACCCGATTTTCGACTGCACCTTATCTTTGAAGTCCAGTTTCTCAGATTTCACCTCCACCTGGCCACCACCTGGAAGAGGCGAGTGAGAGGGGGGTCAGGAGCTGGGAAGAGCACCCAGCACCGCGGGGCTCACTGGGGTGCCCCCGCACCCCCTGCCCCTCTCCACACCCCCCCGAGGCCGAAGGGTACCTGGCTTGTGGTGGATGTTGCCCAGGGAACCACATTTGGATGTGACGTGGCTCAGGTCGACTGGCTTGTAAACGATTTGCACCTGCCCAGAGGAGAGAGAAGGGGATGAGCTGGGGCCAGCACGGGCAGCTGGGGAGGGGGAGCACAACACACAGCAGCACCTGAGCCGGGCTGGAGGGAAAGGACAGCTCCAGCCCCAGGAGGATTAATGACACCAAAGAAACTGCCATCAGAAATGGGAGATCATTAATGCCCGTGTGCAGGAGCCTCTTAACATGTCAGCATGCACGAGATCACCTCTCCACAGAGCGGGGAGCAGAGGCAATTTTAAAGTGCTCGAGTGAGAGAGAAAGTGGAGTGGTGATTAATTAAGATTTGCATACACATCATCCAAAAGGAGGAAATATACCAGAGAGAAAACGTAAAAAATAAATACCTTTTCTGGTGTAAAACATAAAGCTTATGTCCACAAAAACTGAAAGAACAGAAATGATCAATGTGCACAGAAATTTCAAAAGAGTGACCAAAATATGCATTTCTGAAAAATGCTGTAACAGAAATAAGGGTTAAATAAAAAAAAAACCAAAGCAAAGTCTAAATATCTGGAGTTGACATCATAGAAATTAAAATGGCAATTATAAAGTATTGAACCGCAACAGCATTTTGTGATTTTAAGCTCTGTTTTGATGTGCTTTGCCTATGATGTCTCTCAAGGTGGGCTCCAGGAACTCCACGGATCCCCCCGTCCCCAGAGCCTCGTGGCACGGACACGGGGACAGGGACACACACGGGGACACCGGGGGCTGCAGTGCTGCACACACCAGGGAGGACCTGGGAGCAGGCACACACACGAGCAGCAGACAAGGGGGAGAAAACGTCCCCAGAGCCCCACAGGTCACCCTGGGGCAGCCAAAATGCCTCTGGCCTCGCCCACGCCTCGAGGCTGCCCTGGGGACAGCAGAGCAGGGGGGATGCTCTCACAGCCCCAGGAGATGTGCCACACCAAAGGGAGCCGTGCAGAGGAGCCGCCTCCTTGCAGCAGCCCCCGAGCAGCACCAAGGCTCCACTGCACCTCTGCCCCGTCGGAGCACCTGGGCTCACCCAAAAGCCCCAGGGGAAGGTGCATCCTTCGCTCCCCACGTTGGCCCCAACACCCTCAGTGACCGTCACAGCCCTGAGAAACAACCCTCACCCCAGCCAGGAGCCAGGAAAAGGAGGAAAACTCCAGGCACAGAGCCCTGCTGACCTGCCTTGTCTCTGCTGCTCACACAGACCAGGAGGCACATTTGACAGGAGACAGAGAGGGAGAAAAGCAACCCCTCGGGGTCTGGGAGACACCGTGGACACAGACGTGGAGACAGCGCAGGGAAAGGTCACACGTTCAATGCACTCGGGCAGGAGAGGAGCTGGGTTTGGTTGGAAAGCAGGAAGCAGACCCAGAAAGGGCAGCTGGTGCCTCTCCAAGCCCAGCTGTGACCCTGAAGGGTCTCTCAGCAATTCAGGTACCACTGAGACCTGGGACTGAACGTCCTCCCGTTTCCAGAACACGCGGTCATCAATTGGAACTTTCTGCTCTCATTCCCAGCCCCTTTTTTGACAGACAGGGCTCTGTCGTCCCTTCCCATCCTGCCGGGGAGCAGAGAAGGATCCTCCCCACTTGAGCAAGAAAGGAGAAGGGGAAACAGAGTTGTTTTCCTGGGAAAGCAGTGCCAGAGACCTGGGGATCCCACCCCTCAGCATCAGCAATGCCAAGGCCAGCTCCTGCCTAAGGCACCCCCTGGGCAGAGCATCCACAGCCCTCAGAATCCAGGCCCCAGCCCCAGGGAGTGGCAGCTCCCTCTGGAAGCAGGGATGGCTGGGCAGGGGGTGCTGCTGCCACAGGGGAAAGTGCCCGGGGCTCTCTTGTTGCCCCTGTCCCAAGGGAGCCCCAGGCCCAGCTCACCCTCCTGGCACTCTGCCCCTGGCAGGCTTTGCTCCCAGAGCTGCCAGAGCCAGGCAGAGCTCACGGGGTCTTCAGTTCTGGCAGGGCCTGGGGAGGGATCACCACCCCCAGGTGAAAACTCGGGTCATTCTTAGCCCAGTGCAGCTGCCAAGGCCCACGGGGAGAGCTCTGTGAGGAAGGGACGAGCCCATCACCAGCCACAGCACCGAGGTGGGCAGCCAGCAACAGCCCCTGGTGCACCACACCCTGGGCAGCCCGGGCAGGGCAGGAGCCCAGGGTGAGGAAGAGGAACAGCCATGGAACTGCTTCACAGGGCTCTGACTCTGCAGAGCAGCTCCTCTGGCCCGTGCAGTAACTGCAGAGTGACGCCGAATTTATCCAGAGGCTGCAAAGCTCTGTCAGCTGCCAAGCTTCTGCAAGGCTCCGTTTCTCAGGGACATGAAGGAAAATCCACGGGGAACATCTCAGAGCAGGCCCCGCAGACCCCAGGACACAGTCTGGGGTCTCAGGGATGTGCCTGCCTCGGCCCAGCATCCTTCCTGGAGCCAAACTGCCTCCAGCTGTAAATCCACCAACCTCTGTGGAGTGTCTCCAGGTTTCTGGCACAGTAACTGAAAGCTGAGCCTGGTGTTTGTGTGGGAACAGCTGGAAATGCCAGTGTTCAAATCAATTAACTCAACAACCCTCAGGCTCAGCCTCCGTGGGCGCTGCCGGACACTTTCGTTAGCAAGGAGAATCTGAATATTTTGCATGGATCATACTTGCCTGATGGGAACGGGCACGTGTGGGGCAGGATCGTGTCCAATTTAGCAGCACACTGAGCAAGGAGGACTGGGTCTGCTCAGAAATGGACCCATCTCCTGCATCACCGTGTGCCTGAGGCCCCTCCTGCAGACCAGGAGGCTTTTTCCAGGCAGTGCAGAGCCCTGGAGTTACTGGGATGGTTTGTTACAGACGTGGTTTGGACACGGGGCAGTTAGTTCTGTCCATGTCAGGCATGTCCAGGACTCGTTAGGGTTCATTTTTGGGTTAACGGGGTTAAATGACAGCACGTCCCCAATGGCTATGTGACAGCAGCGTGGCTGCAGATAGCATTGGTGATTAGTGTAACAACATGCCACTGAAATCAGGATTATCACAGTGCATTCAAAGTGTGAAGGTACTCACACTGCCTCCGCCCGGGATGTGTTTGATATTATCCTTTGAGCCACACCTGGATTGAACGCTGCTAAAGTCCAGCTTCTTATTAATTATCTGCACCTTTGGTAGCCAGAAAAGAGTCATTGCACGTCACCAATAGCTATCTGATGGCAGGGTCGCTGCAGATAGCATTGGCAGTTTAGTGTACACAACATGCCACTTATTATAAGAACCATAGAGCATTGAAAGTGTGAAGGTACTCACACTGCCTCCGCCCGGGATGTGTTTGATATTATCCTTTGAGCCACACTTGGATTGAACGCTGCTAAAGTCCAGCTTCTTATTAATTATCTGCACCTTTGGTAGCCAGAAAAGAGCGTGAGAAACAACATGACCATCTGCAGCTCGACCATGTGTTATAGCCCTAAAACCAGGAACCTGCCTTCCAGTGCCAGCAGCAAACAGGAAAATCTCTGGCTTGCTGCACAGATTTGCCTCTTGCTGGGCTGGAAAGGGAAGATGGAGGTGGGCAGGTCATAGCTCTAGCCTGGGCAGGCCTGGGCAGTGATGCAGCTCTGGCCACAAACACCAGCCGAAAAGCCAGCTCAGCCTGGATCCTTCCACTGAACAAAACGGGGACCTGGCTGGGCAGCAACCCCGCTGGGAGGCAGGGCTGAGGCACCACCAGGGCTCAGCGACAGCTCCTGCAGAGCCAGGGGAATGAGGAGGGGTGGGGCTGAGGGAAAAATGCCTGCCCAGCTCCTTGGAGCCAGGACCACAGTCCCCTCTGGGCCGGGCAAACAGGAGCAGGAGCTGCGTGTCCAGCTCTGGGAGAGGACACCCAGCTCTGCTCTGCGCGGGGCTCACGCTCCCTGCACAGCTGCCAGCAGAAAGCCAAGGCTGCCAGGGATGCTCCCCACCCCGGATGCAGCCCCGGGCCCCATCCCACCCCAGTGGTGTGGCAAAGGAGCCCCTGGTGGGTGGCAGCGGGGCTGGGAAGGGCCGGGGCCCCGTGGAAGCACTGCCAGGCACAGCCCGCAGCCCCGGCCCTGTGCCCACGCAGCTGGCTCCACTCAGGGGTCGCTTCCCCCCGGCTGCCCTGGAGCCCCCTCAGGCACCCCAGCAGCTCTTCCAGGCAGCCCTGGGCTGAAGAGGATCCCTGCTCCTTGCCCACCCAGCCTGGAGTGGCTTTGCAGCCCCCTCGGGTGTAAATGCAGGTGCCAGGCAGAGGTGTGAGCCGTGAGGCACAGCCTGTGACAGGGCCCACGAGAGCCCCAGCAGGGTCCCCTCCTGGCACAGGAACCATCCCGGGGCTGAGCAGGGCTCCAGCCCAGCCTGCTGCTCCCTGCAGGAGCTCCCTGCAGCGCCCTGGATGCTCCAGGGCTGGCCTGTGCCTCCAGCAGCTTTCCCAGCTCATCCCACACGTCAGGACCCAGCTCTGCCAGAGCAGCACTCGTGGTGCAGCCACAAGAGGAGAGCTGAGGCCACCAGGAGGTCACAGGGCCGTGGCCTGGCTGCCCCTGCCCTGTGCCCCTCTGCTTGCCCAGGCTGGGGTCCGGAATCTGCTCCAAACCCATTTCTGAGCAGCCTGAAATCAAACATCTGGGATCAGCCCCTTCTGCTCCAGCTGCAACCATCCTGCTGGGAGCAGCCTGGTGTCTACAGAGCCCCAGCAGAGCATCCAGCCATCCTCCCCTGCAAAGAGCAAGGAATTGTCCCAGATTCAGCTGTTCTTACTCTTTCAGCAACAACAACAAACAGAGAGGGGAAAAAAAACAACTTGGAAAAGCTGGATTAAAAAAGAACAAACAAATAATTTAACTATTTTCCAGTAAACAAGGGTTCCTTCCAAAATCCCTGGAGAACAGGGTTTGTGGGGGTGGGAAGAAAAACCCATGTCTTGTGCTAAGTGGGCAGGAGGGCTGAGCCCCCCCAAAAAGGACTCTGTGCTCATGTGCTGCTGTCTCATGACCAAGAGCCCTGCCCAGGCTCCAGAGCCCCCCTGGATGGTGGCACAAAGCCAGAAAATCGCCAGCCACGGTGGAAAACGCCTGGGAAGGCCATGGAGCAGCAGGCTGCCATTCCACAGGATGCAGGGGAGCCAGCTCAAAGCCTCCCCCCATGCCAAGGGGAACATTCAGAGCCACCGAGGTACCTGCTCACAGAAAACGTCATGCACAGCACTCAGGGAACGTTTCTTAGGGCTCTGCAAGGGCTGAAGCCAGGCAGTGCCACCAGTGCCACCCTAGGACAGGCAGTGCCACCCTAGGACAGGCAGTGCCACCCCAGCACAGGCAGTGCCACCCCAGCACAGGCAGTGTCACCCCGGGACAGGCAGTGTCACCCCAGGACAGACAGTGTCACCCCAGGACAGACAGTGCCACCCCGGGACAGGCAGTGCCACCCCGGGACAGGCAGTGCCACCAATGTCACCCCGGGACAGGCAGTGCCACCCTGGGACAGACAGTGTCACCCTGGGACAGACAGTGTCACCCCGGGACAGGCAGTGCCACCCTAGGACAGACAGTGTCACCCCGGGACAGGCAGTGTCACCCCAGCACAGGCAGTGCCACCCTAGGACAGACAGTGTCACCCCAGCACAGGCAGTGCCACCCTAGGACAGGCAGTGCCACCAGTGTCACCCCAGGACAGGCAATGCCACCCCAGCACAGGCAGTGCCACCCCAGCACAGGCAGTGTCCCCTGCCAGGCTTGCAGAATTTAACCCAAGAGCCTCATTCCCAAGCACCTGGAGCCCAGAGGTCACTTTGCTTGTGAAACAGCTTTTCTGGGAGTGCAAAGCGTTTGAAAGGACAGAAGTGCCACCAGTTGTGGCCGTGCCCCCCTGCACTGTGTGGCCAGACAGCACCTGGTGGCACAACACGACCCAAAACCTCGCCACCAGAGCTGGATCCACACCCCAGTGTGTGGCAACACGTGGGGTGGGAGCCGAGACCCTCAGGAGGAGGAGACAGACCCTGCTGTGCCCTCCTGCCCCGGGCACAGGGCGGGACTCAGGAGCACAGCCTGAGCCTGCCTCTCCTGCGGGCTGCAGCTCAGCTCCCCACGCAGCTCCCCACGCAGACACCAGCACAGAGCATCACTGCAGCCACGAGTTCCTGCACCCTGGGACACCTGAGCTGCACCCTGGGACACCTGAGCTGCACCCTGGGACACCTGAGCTGCACCAGGCCAGCAAGGAATCCAGGCCTGGCATCCGAGCCCAAACCCTGCGGGTGAGCCAGAGTCGGGTGCAGCCCTGCCCGCTGCCCGGCTGCTGCTCCAGGCAGGTCCTGCCAGCCCAAGGCAGTGCCCAGCGCCCCTGTGCCCACAGGCAGGACAGAGCCCGTGCTTACCTTGCCGCCTCCGGGCTGGTGCTTCAGGTTGTCGGTGGAGCCGATTTTGGACTTGACGTTCTTCAGGTCGGGCATGGGCGCGGCCGAGGGCTGCACGCGGGTCTTGGCCGAGGCGGGAGATTTCGGGGGGGTGCGAACCACTGCCACCTTCTTGGGCTCCCTGGCTGGTGGGGTGGGCAGAGAGGGGGTGCGGGAACGGCTGCCCGGGGTCCCGGGGGAGCCGGGACTGCTGTAGCCGCTCCTGTCTCCAGACCTGGGCTGCTCACCTGCGCACACAGCAGAGCCCGCTCAGCGCCCCGCGCCGCTCCGCTCGCCCCGGAGCCCGCCCCAGCCCCGCGCCCGCACCTCCTGCCACGCCTTTGGGAAGGAAAAACTGGGATCCAAAGGCAGCTTCCCGACATCCCGGCAGGAAGGTGGTCTCCACTGCCTGGATCGTCAGTAAGGCTCCCCACCCGAGCGTGGCACGACGAATTACGGACAAAAGACACTCAGAACCACTTTTCTATCAGAAATTTGGAAGCACTTTGACAGAACCATTTTCTGTAATTAACTAAGGCTGATTGCTGAGCAGCTTAGCACTGTCCCCAGTTTGAAAAGGAAACGAAAGAAGAAAAGAAGACCCTTAAACATCACCTTTCTCAGTCTTTGCTGCTGCAGGAGGTGGCTTTTTCTGCTCCTTTCTGCCTGTTTAGTGAATGAGAAAGATGCTTAAACATAATAAAGCTGGAAAATTAATTGATTTAAGGTTTAATGCAGCTCTGGTTAAGTATGAAATATATGTATATATCCAGTGAAATGCACCATTTTAATGGAAATTCACAATGCCTGATGCTTTCTGGGGTTTTCTTCTGAGCATAGTGGGCTAATCTCCATTCCTGTAATCGAAGAATTGATCCTCTTGCCCCTGGTCTTTGTGAAATATCACCAGAGAGAAAACGAGTAGATGGATTAAAAAAATGGAGCTGCCTAAATCTTCCAGATTTGAGGAAATCCCACCGGATGAAGCAACTGGCCTCTCCTACTCAGTGGAGACTGTATGAACACAGGGCACGAGCGGCTCGACCCAGCGGGAAGGAGCCCCAGGAGGGCTGGGTTCGGTCTCGAACCCCTGGCACTGCCCAGCAGCACCACCCAGCCACCAGCACGCGGCTGCCACCGTCACCTACCGGAGCTGGGAGGGGTCTTGGGGGCCGTGGGGGTCTTGGCCGGGATGCGGGTGGCGTTGGTGGAGTTCCTCTGTGCCTGCCCCGCGCGCGCCGCGCCCGTCTTGGAGCCAGCCCTCGCCTCCGGGCCCTGGGGACACAGCGGGGACGTCAGGGACAGGCTGCCAGCCCTCCGAGCGGGCACCTGAGAGCCTCGACGCCTCCATTCCCCACCCCTGGGCTGTGCCTGCTCACACCGTGTGTCCCAAGTGCACAGGAGGGGCACAGGAAAGGCTGGGACCTTCCCCAGGTGGCTTCAGCGACCGCGCCCTCACGCCTGCCTTAGCCACACCTCTGCTCCCCGCATTTCATCCTTTGCTTTCCCTTGTTCTGCCAAAATTTCTACAGAAGATAAATCAATCCCAGCATCTGAGACTGGCACAGGGTGCCCAGAGCAGCCCGGGCAGTGCCCAAGGCTGGACAGGGTTTGAGCAGCTGGGACAGGGGAAGTGTCCCTGCCACGGCTGGGGAGTCACTGGGTGGACTTTAAGGTCATTTCTGGCCCAAACCATGCCAGGATTGTGTGTGACCTGCACTCCCTGTGCTTTCCCTCACCGTGGGTGTGTTTGTGTGCCTGAATGCCACAAAGGGACGAAGCTCCGAGGCTCTGCTCCCCCTCAGGATCGGCCATGGAGGTGCTGCACGCCCTCCTCCCCGCGCAGCACCCGCAGCCCTGGCACGGCCAAACCGAGAGCAAGGAAGGGCTGGAAGGGCCCGGCCAGGGGCACGGTCACAGCTGCAGCAGCACAGACAGCCTGGGTGCCCCAGGCACGGCTCCAGCTCCAGCCCTGGCTCCGGCCCTGGCAGGGCGGCCGGGCAGCGTGCGGCCCTGCAGGGACAGGGAGCGCCCGCAGAGCCTGGAGCACCCGCAGAGCCCGCAGTGCCTGCAGCAGCCGGGAGCGCCCGCAGAGCCCGCAGAGCCCGCAGAGCCTGCAGCAGCTGGGAGCGCCCGCAGAGCCCGCAGAGCCTGCAGTGCCTGCAGCAGCTGGGAGTGCCCGCAGTGCCTGCAGTGCCCACAGTGCCTGCAGAGCCAGCAGTGCCCACAGTGCCTGCAGCAGCCAGGAACACCGCAGTGCCTACAGTATGCAGTGCCTGCAGCGCCCGCAGTGCCTGCAATGCCTGCAGTGCCTGCAGTGCCCACAGTGCCTGCAGAGCCAGCAGTGCCCACAGTGCCTGCAGCAGCCAGGAAACACCGCAATGCCTGCAGTACGCAGTGCCTGCAGCGCCCGCAGAGCCTGCAATGCCTGCAGCGCCCGCAGTGCCCACAGCAGCTGGGAGCGCCCACAATGCCTGCAGTGCCTGCAATGCCCGCAGTGCCTGCAGTGCTGTCAGTGCCCGCAGAGCCTGCAGCACCCTCAGTGCCCGCAGCAGCTGGCAGCACCCGCAGTGCCCGCAGTGCCCCGGTGCCCGCAGTGCCGCAGCACCCGCAGCACCCGCAGCACCCACAGTGCCGCAGCACCTGCAGCGCCCGCAGCACCCGCAGCACCCGCAGCGCCCGCAGCCTGCCTCTCCCAGCCCGTCCCCAGCGTGGGCTGTGCTCCCTGCACGGCTGCACTGCGGGCAGAGGCAGGGCTGGACGGGGCTTTCGGAGTGGTGGGGGCACGGAGCCGGGGGGGAGGCAGGGCAAGGTGAGGATTTCTTGGACGTGGAAATGAAATAAAATGGGAACAAAAACAAAAGAAAATCAGCGTGGGAGGGAAATAAAATGGGGTCAGCGACATTAAATAGGATTAGAAGGTGCAATACAGAGCTGGGTGTGGGGTAGACAGCCAGGGCTGTATATAGAGAAATAACCAACTTTGGTGTTAGAAAATAATTCAATTCCTCATCTCTTACTCTTCACCCACTGCATTTCCCTTCAGCTTGTCCATTATCCCTCTCAGGCACTAACCAGGATAATGGCCAGCTGAGCTAAACCTCCTCCAAATTACCAGTGTGACAGATATTGTTTAACTTCTGGGATTTACCCATTATTAAACTCTATTCCTCACCCAGAGCACAACACAGCATCCTTTCTGGGGGTTGTCCTGTGCAAGCCAGGAGCTGGATTTGATGATTCTTGTGGATCCCTTCCAACTCAGGATATTCTATGACCTGCAAGGCCTAGGTTATTTAATTTAATGTTTTAATTACATGTTTTGCTCTTTTCATAGTTATGCTTGTCCCCGGTGCAGTTTTGAGTCTGCTCCAAGGTCAGCTGCTGCTTTTCAGTCCTGGGCTGATAAAATGATTTCTCCAACCTCCCACCCAACCCCGTGAGCCACGTGTTTGATTTAGATTTGGACCATTTCCTCACCCTTAAAGAACCCATGGATTGCACCATCCAAACCCAGGGGAGGGAAGAAAACATAAAAACACTCTTGAAAACAAATGGAAAAATGGAACATAATGGGCAGGTTTCCTAAGAGGAACAACAGCAGGGCAGCAGAGGAGCCAGGAACACGGACAGGTGTCACCCCTGGTTCTGGTTTTTAGCTTACCTTGGGTTTCTTTTCATCAGCTTCAGTCCCTTCCTTGTCAACACGACCTGACAGACGGAAACAAACAGTTACACCTCTTGTCCTGGTCAAAAACTCCCGAGGTGAGAACACAGTGCTGGGGGTGTTCCCTGTCCCTGCTCTGCCTTAGTACTGTTCTTAGAAATGTGACAAAGTCACCACCTCTTGCAGAAATCCTTCCACCACTCCACAAACACATTCCTTCTGTGTTAGCAGATGATGCTGTGTTAGTCAGCACTGGGGACCAGACACACCAGGGAGGTTTGGGAGAGAGCGTTTTGCCCAGATTTCCACCCAGCTCCTGCAGGATCCATCCAGCCCAGGACAGTTCCCTTCAGCCCTACACACGAGTCTCTGAAACACCCACTTGTTCTAACACCCAAACTGAAGGAAGCCCCAGCCCAGCAGCACTATAATCTCGTTTAAGGGGCTCTTCAGTCGGCCCTGCAGAGCACTTTTATCCCTGCTGTTGTTAATTCCCATCTCTCCTGACAGGCTGCTCCCTGCCTCCCAGCACCACGGTGCCCCTTCCACCTGGGTCAGTCTAATTAGGAGATTAGAATGGGGAGGAGATAAAGTTTGTACTCCAAGGCACTTATAACAAAGCCCTTTTCCCCCCATCTTCAGCTAATTGGGAGGAGAAGCTGCTGATATTCTCCCCAGTGTTGGGAAACTTGTCCTGGGGGATCAGCCCTTTCCTGACATGGACAATGCTGCAAATCCAGCACTGACCCCTCCCAGATCCAGCTGAGCTGCACACTGGAGCAAGGCTGGAGCCAAACCAGCTTTGAAGGGAGAGACCATTAAATAATTAAAGTTCTCCCACTGAATCAGAAGCTGGCTGGCTCTGGGCAGTGCATCCCCACCCTGCCGTGGTTGCAGGCTCCAGTGCAAGCCATGCCAGTGCCCTGCAGCACACGAGCGAAGCTTCCCGCTGCTGATCCCACAGGGAACAACGAGAAACATCTTCTGAGCTTTGGCTCCAGCGGGAAAAGCTCCATCAGCAATTCCTGCCTGAGCCCCGCGCAGCAGAGCCGCAAGCCCAGCAGCATTCCCAGGCCAGTGGGAGCAGCCAAGCCAGCCCTTGGAGGTGGAGCTGGGGAGAAGGCAGAGCTTCCCCCAGGACCTGCCCCGGGGAGCCAGAGCTGAGGTCCGAGCGGTGAGACCAGCCCGAGTCCTGCTGCCCTGGCTCCTTAGCCAGCCCACAGCAGCACCTGCCTTCGGCCGCTGGGCCGGGCCCCTGGCACCGTCCTGAGCCCAGGGGAGGTGGAAAGCAGAAAGGAAAGGCCTAAGGGATGCTCGAGCACTTCGTGGTGAGCTCCGAGCTTTCCCAAGGCTGCCCTCCCAGCCCAGCCCAGCCCCACACGCTGTTTAGGTGCCCCCAGACAGGCAGGCAGCTCCTCTGAGCCCCCAGAGCACCGTGCTGGCACACCCAGGGATGCCCATCCAGAGCTGGCATGGCAGCAGGATGCTTGGGAAGAGCAATGGACATGCCTGGCAGTGGGGAAAGTTCCTGCTGGCTGCAGCCCTGCCTCCAGCAGCAGCCCCAGCGGGTCTTTAAGGGGAAAGTACAAGGAACAGGATCAGTGTGGGGGCTTTTCCAGGTTAGACCTGCCATCCTTGCCTTTTTCCTCCTCCCTCCTCTTTAGGAAAGGCAGTTCCAGGAGTTACTGGACCAGACTCCAAGAGTTCCTGGCTGTGCAAGCCAGAAGGCACGTGTCCTGCTGGAACAAGCTGCACAGGCCAGGTGAGCCCACGCCAACGTGCCAGAGCCACCTCCAGGTCCTCGTCTTCTCGGGGAAGGGGCCAGGTGGGAGTTAAGGCGCCCACCCAACAGATCCAAAGAAATCAAAACAAAAATGGGTGAGAAAAGCACGATTAGGGACACGCCAGCACCATGCAAGGGACGCAGAACCGCAGCACAAGGCTCTGTCAATCCAGTCCAGGACTGAATTGGGAGGGCAGGGAGGGAGCAGCAGCTGTGCATCAGTCCCAGCACAGGTCCAGGCCATTTCCAAGCAGCAGGAGCCGAGGTGGCAGCAAGCTGCAGTGCTGGGGCACACACCTTTGAGCAGGGGCACACGACTGGCCTTGTCTGCAGCCAGCCCGCCCGGCTTCCTCCGGGGCGTCCGGCGGGCCCCTGCGTCCGGCACGGCCTCTCCCACGGGAGCACCTTCATCCACCTTCTTCACACCGTCCTCTCCCTCAGCAGGGAGTTCGGCTCTTTCTAGCACAGAATCTTCTCCCTCCCTGGGCTCAGCCTGTTTTTGGGAGACACTTCCAGCAGGCTCTGACAGGGTGCTGCCTGGACCTCCTTCTCCCCCCAGCAGCTCTCGCTTCTCCTCTTGGTCCTCTCCTGCTTTATGTGACTCAGCTTCAACCAGAACTGCCTCTCCTGGGCTGTCTCTGAGGACAGCTTTGGACTTGTTTTCTCCATCATATTCTTCACGAGTCTCCTGGGCAGCTGCTGGGCACGAGCCCTTTTCAGGTGCCAGAGAAACACGCTGATCCGCGAGGGAAGGCAAACCCTGCCCAGAAGTTTCATCGATATCCCGGTCCTCATCCCTCTGGGAATCTTCTTTTATCGGGGCTCTGGCACACAGAGGAGATGGTCCATCTTTGTGGCCACCTGTGCCACCTGCTCGGGCCAGGCCTTCTGTGCCTCCCTGGTGCCACAGGTCCCCGCTGCCTTCGGGGGCTCCGGAGCCTTGGTACATGTCCAGGGGGATGGGGATGGTGACCTCGATTCTGGTGGGGGCTGCTGCCGGAGCCGTGGTTTCACGGGACTGAGGTGGCTGCTGAGGCCCCAGGCCCTGCTCTGGGGGCTGGCTGCCACTTTTTACTGCAGCTCCCACACGCTCCCGAGGGCCAGGCTGGAGCCTTGGAGAGCTCGGCTCGCCTGGAGTTGAAGTTGTGGGGTGTGAAGCATGGGCAAGAAATTAGCACAGGCATGTCAAACATCACGTAAGGTGAGAGAGAGTCAGCATTTCTACTGGCAATCGAGAGACAAAAGCAAGTCCCACCCCACCCCACTGAACAGACAACTTGCTCCTGCAGTGGCTTTTGCCTTTAAAGAACTCTGAGCCCCGCGGGGATCAGCATCAGCACCTGGGAGATCTGATTCCTGCCTGGACCTGGCTCGGAGGGGCCGGGTTTGCCCTGCACTCCATGAGCTGGTTCAGCTGTAGAGGTCTCCAGAAGCCAAGAACATTCCCATTTTCCCTAACACCACCACTGGACCACCAGTCTGCTGGTCAGTGCCCACCTCTTCTTGCCTCAAGGGCCTGAACAAGGGCCAGAGCCCTGTCCTCCTTCCTGTCCTCACAGAGCCCTGCTGGCCTTCCCTCCCCTCGGGAGGTGCTCGGGCACACACAGCACTGGCTTCAGAGCTCAAGCCACCTCTGCTTTGCTCTTTGACTGTTCCCACTGCCCAGGAGCTTGGGAAGAGCACTGCCATGCCATGCCAGAGCAGGGAAAGGACTGTGGAGAAGAACGTGGCTGTAGCCACAGGGCCACGGTTTGGGACCGTGCACCCCCTGAGAGCTCCGGTGCTGCTGCTCTGCCAGCATTTGGGCTGAGTGACATCTGAACCCCTGAACCTGAGGCCACAGAGACAAAGATTTGTCTGCTTCTCTTTTCTTTTTTGGCACCTATGTGTGTAAGAGGGGAATCTGTTCTGTCACTGTCCTGTGCATGACACAGACCTTTACAATTCCACTCGACAATTAATGCATGAAGCCAGATCTTCCAGCTGAGCTGGAGCTTTTCTGCTGGAAATGCCTTCAGCTGAAGGAAAGATGCCCTGAGCAATGGGGGATTCACCTGGACTTGGGTACATTGCTCTGGAGTCAGCCAGCCCAGGAACAATGTGCCTCCTGTATGATGGGCTGGCTCAGCTTCAAGGACACTTTGGTCTCTTTGAGCACTGACCAGGTGAAGAGCCTAAATCAGAGCCCTGAGACCACAACTGTGGCTTTGGCAGATCAACAAACAAGACTCAAACAAGAAAAGATGAAGTCAAGACCAACTTGGTCATTCGTCAGTGCGCTCCCCATTTTAAGAGAATATCACAGTTAAGTGAAATAACCACACAAAGACCTCGGATGTGACAGCTGAAAGATCCCGGGACAAGGCAGAAAGGGCTTAGTAAAAACCTGGTGAGAAACAGCACTAGAACCAGAGCAGAGAGAATTTCAACCCCCTCCACCAACAATCCTGATTTCTTTTTTATAGGGGTGCCACTATTTCATGTTTAGAAGAGCTGACAGTCCAAAAACACTGGCCAGGCCAGTAAAGGTTTATTCTAATGGCAGGGAGCAGAGTGCACAGAATTGTGCTCATCTGTGTGTGGAAAGCAACAACGACCTGAATTCTGCCCTGAGCTGAGAAGGCAAAACCTACTTATTTCTGTAAAAGACATGGATGTCTAAATGCACTAATGGAGCCGTGGAAAGGAAAGACACTGCTCAGCTGGAGGGATTTGTTATGTTTACTGCACAGAAAACTGCTTCACAAAATGGCTTTTGACTCAGATTTTAAACAGCACACTCAATTAGTGCTGTGGTGTGCAGTGCAGGCAGGACAGAAGCATCACAGGGAGTCTCAAGCCCCAAGTCTGCCCCATGGAATTAAGCCAGCACTGGGGGCTTTGGGGAACCAATTTTCCATCAAGTCTGAACTAAGGCGAGTCAAGAGAAACTTTCCAGGTAGCCAGATGGTCCCTGGATAATTTTCAGCCCTTCGAAGCAGACACAAAATGAATGCTGTGAGAACACTCGCTGCCCACTGTGTCTGGCTTCCTCACTCACATTCCCCAAGACTGGGATGAGGAGGAAAATCCCTTAGTGTTGAAGTCAGGGTATGAGTGAGTAGGTTTGAGTCCTGTTTTACTTTAGAAAGTCACAGCAATTAAAGAATTTGCTGGTTTCATGTGTGAGCACAAGGCCTGCACTGCCTCTGCTCAAGCTGAGCAGTTCCTCTGGCCACAGCACATCCCAGCTCTGTCCAGCAGCTTTTCCAGCCTGGAGAACACACTGGTTTTGCAGCTGGACAAACAAGCACCGTGACTTTGGCCATCTGAGAGGGAAATCTGGTGCACGAGGAGCTGCAGCTCCCTGTAAAGAGCATGTTGGAACAGCCCAGGAGTGCATGGCCCTCCTCTGCCAGGAACAGGGAGAGCTGCTGAGCAGGGCAGAGCGTTTCCTCACAGAACAAACCTCTCCAGCCACCACCAGCCCTCTGCAGGCGTGGGCAGCAGCAGCTGGTCCCAGTGAGAGACGATTCACCCACCTTGAGTGGCATCTCCTGCAGCGTGGTCCTCCAGGTTGGGAGTGGCTCCTACGCCCGCCTCTTCAGCTGCTCAGGCAGAGAAAGAAGGGGAAAAACATCATCAAAATAAGAGCTGAGTTCAAGCATGTGCCTGGAGAATGAATTTACCTCCCTGCCGAGGCTGCCCAGCAGAACGGGCAGGATCTCTGCAGCAGGGCAGAAATCTCCCCACACTGATGAAGGACCCGGGTGGATCTGCTCAGCCCCTGCTCTACAGACCAGAGCAGTGTTTCACCAGCTTCCACATCCTAAATGGCAGGTTAGCACAAGCTCTTCCAGGCAGAAAACAGGCTGTTAAGGAGCAAGGCAACTTGTGGATGTAGATCCTCTTCTACCCCCACGTGGCCTTTACACGGCCAGCAGCACACCCATGGACGTCTCTTACCTGAGCTCACTTCTTGTGTCTGTGACCAACCTGTGAGCCCTGCCAAGGCTGGCTGAGACCAGTAACTCCAAGCCTGATACAAATCTATAGAGAAATCCTGAACTTCAGGACTACAGGTACATCAGAGAAGCATAAGAGAAGGTTTTCTTCACAGTGATGGTGGTTTGTCTTCCTCAGCATTTCTTCAGTTTATTCTATGACTATTTTCAAACTAGCTTAAATAATTCTATTGGTATGCCTCAGTTCTCCAGTCAAACTAGGACTTCTTCTCTGTTTTCCTCATTTTTATCCAAGCAGTTCAGGATACACTGGCTCCCTGGGACAGTCTGATCTTGCACCAGAGGCTCTGTGCTTCAGTCCAGGGCTCCACCAGCAGCTCAGGGACCAGATGCAGCACAGAAATTCCACTGCTGTGAGTTTGTTTCAGTGCTTGGCACTGGCAGAAGCCCTTTTCTACCCGCTGCTTTTCTCAGGTCCTGCCTGATGCTTCCAGGGAAAGCCACTGGCTATGGCACAGGGGACACGTCCTCATTTTTCAGACACATCCTGCTCTCCCACACACAGCACTGCCACAGTCACTCCCTGCTCTGCCTCTGGAAGGCCCCATCCTTCCCTGGAAAACCAGGCCCAGGTGCAGTGGCTGCCCACAGGGCATTCAGGCTGAATTAGTCACTTCACTGGCTCTGCATCACCCTTAAAAGCACTGCTGCAGTGGCCTGGTTTCCACCTGCCACTCCAAAGACACCGCCAGGGCTGGGCAGAGCCCGGGGGCTGCAGGAGGCACCCAGGGGCTGCAGGAGGCACCCAGGGGCTGCTGGCACGGGAAGGACCCGGATCTGCAGAGAGGAGCCTGGAGGTGGGAGCCAAAGCCACCACAGAGACACCAGACAGAAGGATGGTCAGGTGTGGAGCAGAGAAGGAGAGAAGAAAAGGCTGCGAGTTCTCCCCAGGACGGGGAAGGCAAGAGGACAGCTCTGAGAGAGGAATTCTCCGGAGAAGAAGGAAGCAGGGCTGGGAGCAGCGTCCCTGCGAGAGGTTTCGTGGTGTTGCCTCACAGCACCGACCAGTCCAGCTCTCTGCTCTGTCTGCAGCAAGAGATGAAGCTGCACCTTGGTCTCCCTCACCTGTGGTTCCTTCTGGGATCTCCCCGTGCTGTTCCGCACCACCCTGATCCTCGTGGTCTCCTTCCTCCACTAAAGGTGCTGTGGCATCTGCAAAACAACACGGCTTTCACACAGCTGCTGGGAGGCAAAGCCCTCTGCAGGCCTGGAGAACTTCCTGCCCGGAGAAGCCCTCGGCTCCCTCACGGCCAAGCACGGCTCCAAAGCCAGAGCCACAGGGACACCAGGAGCTGGCCCCTGCCACACAACGCTCCCTACGCTTCTGTCCAGAAATCCACCACTAAATCCTGCACGGGGACACGGCTGCTGTGGAGCAGCACGCAGCAGCTCCCCTGGAGCTGCACGGAGCACCCCAAGTGGCTGCACCGTGCTCTGGGACGCAGGGACACCCAGCTCCACCTACCAGAGGGGTGGCTGCTCATCCTGCAGCCCCAGCCTGGCTGGAAAGCAGGACAAAATCCCCTCCTGCCAGACAGGTTTTATGTCCTGATTTCTTGAGGCACTTTCCCGACAATCGCTCAGCCCACACCTCCAGCGGGACAGGGCTGGGACTGCTCAGCATCTCTGCCCACCCTTCCTTCCTTTCAGAACAATTTTGCAAGCTAAAGCCTCTACCTCAAGTCTCCAAAGGCAGATTCCTGGGATTAAAGCAGCCAGAGGAAGGCAAAAAGTGAAGGTAATTACAACAGTGAACAAGTCTCTAGACCACTCTGGAGTTAGAGCCTTTCTACCCACGAGGCAGTCAGGACCTGGGGAGCACAGACACAAACCTGTGCCACTCAACACAGCAGCTCCTGGCTGCTCTGCCAGGGCCCTGCAGTGCCCCTGTAAAGGCTGCAGGAAGCAAACCACCAGCAGCTTCCTGAGCTGCAAGGAACAATTCACCTTTCCTGCTTTGCAGCCCACTCTGCACCTCTGGGGCTCATTATCTCATTCTGCAGCACAGCCAACACCACTAGTGATGAGACTAACAAAGGGGTTCTCCTCCTGAGAAACCCCCAGGACACGGCACGGGGAGTCTGTGGCGAGGTTTACCACGACCCCGTCCAGCATGGTCCCAAAGCAGAAAGTCAAAGAGCTCCCACCTTCCGTAGTTGGGGTGCTCTTAGCGTCAGATGTTTCAGAAACAGGCTCATCCGATCCATCATCGACTGGTATCTGAAGGGGATAGCCTGGAAAACATTCACATACTTACAACAGGTCCTTGGCTAAGAGCTGGGGCCTGGGGGTTACCAGCTGTGATCCACAGCTGCAAGAAGCTGCAGCTGGAGAGTAAAACCACCTGAGCCAAGAGCAAGCAAAGCGTGGAAATGCCAACCAAAAGCACCAGTGTGAGCGCCGAAAGGAACAAATGGAAACCCACCAGCAAAAGAAAAGCCCAGTGAACCGGGCAGGCAGAAACAGCAAAGCATGGCACAAGCAGGCAAGGAGATCTCGGCAACGTAAGGAGGAAAGATGTGCAGCTTCTGAGCCCCTGTTGTCCTCTCCCTCCCAGAGCAGGCTGAGCACTCCCAGGACTGCAAACCAGCCCGTGTTTGTGACGGGGCTGCTGCAGGACAGCATTCTGTGCCAAGAAACCGTGGCAAAAGTCTTCTGGAAGAGCAGGGCAAGAGGCACAAGTCTCCTCTCAGCAAGGGTGCAGGCAAATCAAATAATGAGAGCTGGAAAAACTGATTTGGAAAAGAAGAAGTGAGATCCCTGGGAACCTGTGATGTTTCACAAGCTGAGAGGAGCTGCCGGACCGCAATGCGCTACTGGATGAATGGATGCTCTGGATTCTCTCCAGGACAGAGGCCATCCATTTATCTGCTCGAAGAGGTGTCCAAAGCACCTCAAGAAAAGGAAATTAAGATGATGTTTATATGGAGCACAGCCAGGAGTGAGTCCCCCCAGGTCTGCTGGGCGGTGCGGGTTTCCAAGCTCAGCTGTGGAGCACGGTGGAATGAGAAAGGAAAAGCTTCTGAAGAAATGCAGGTCTGAAATATGGTGAGGAAGACTCTAGCATGGCCCCCACGCCCAGAGCTCTCTGTTCAGTTCTCCCCAGGTCCCTGTGCAGGTGAGGAAGGCAGGCAGCAAGCAGCACCCTCGAGCTGTGACCCCAAATAAAAAGAAGTGCTGTGCTTTCTTAGCAAACTGAGGAGTGAACACAAACACACACTTGCAAAGCTGCAGCAGTGGGATCGCCCCTGGTCTGGGGTTCTTCTGCTCAGTGGGCAGCGAGATCCACGAGCAGCATTTCGCTGCCACCGTGCACGTGGAGCACCCCGTGGGCTCCCCGTGGTGCCCTGGCTGCAGCCAGCTGACCACAGTGTCCCTGCCAGGAGCCCTGGCACCACCAGCACCCCTGGCTGCTCTGCCTCTCCCCCTGCCTCAGCAGGGGCCCAGGCAGGTCCTCCACCCCGTCCTGGATGTGCTCACCTGATGAGAAGTGCTTTTCCTGGCCAGGTGCGTGATCCTCCATCATGGTGGTGTCCTGAGGCTGCTCTGCCACCTCTCAGCAAAAGTACCTGGAAAGGAGAGTAAAAACTAACACCCATTAGGCAAAACCTGTCACAGCAGGAGCAAAGGGAAGGTCTGGCCATTCCTGCACAGGCAAAAGCATGTGCCAGTCACTGCATCCCTCACAACAACCACAGAGGCACCTCCTGCCAGCTGCACTGAGATTCCACGGGTGTTTAAGATGTCCCAAGGAAAAAGAGCACCCTGGTGCACCCAGGACACTGCCCTGACACAGCTTCGCCCCAGGAGCTCCCTGCGAGCAGCAGGCTGTGCTGACTGGCTCCTGGTGCTCCAAACTCTGCATTTCCCAGTTTAACCAGTCCCCCAAGAGATGCATTTGCTGGGGAGGTGTGATGCTGCTGTGGGAAGGGATCCTCCCCTCCCTGTGGAGACACCCAGCAGGGACACACATCTTCAAAGCCATCCGAAAGTGGCAGAGGGGGGACACCAGGCCTATCCACAGATGGATTTTGGACTCTCAGAGGAGAGGGTCTTGCTCAGCTGTGGCTGAGAGGGGACAGCACAGCCCCTGCTTTAACCCCAAACCCTTCCTGCAGGCTCAGAGAGCCTCACCACAGCACAGAGCCAAGCAAACAGGTCTGGGGTGGGAGCAGAAAGGTGCCAAACCTCCCAGCTGATTCTGCGAACTGCCTTGATCTGCGAGAGGAAATGAAGTCTCCAACAACCATTACCTGCCCCTGCTCCGCGCCGGGTGGACAGACAGTGCTTTCAGCTGCCTTCCTAAGAGCTGGTATGATTACAGCCATTGGCAGTGATTAATAATCAGCTTTTAGTGTGATCACATGCTTGCCGTGACCCTCAGGGCCCGCTGAATCCAGCAGTGGAGCTCAGGTTACCAGCAGCAAGGAGGAAACTTGTGGTTTTGTGTGCTGGCAATAAATTAACTGGATGTATGGAACCACACAAGAGAAACTCCAGGGCCAGTAACCAGATCTCTCAGCCAGCTTTTTTTAAGCCTTAGCAAGATGACTCTGCAATTTAATTACTGCCTTAGACAGCTACAAAGCCATTTGACAGCACTGGAGAACCAAGGAGGCTGGAGAGCTTGCACTGGAATGAAATCACCCACAAAAATGGAGGTATAAAATAAGAAAGAATTAAGTACCTAATTTTTGCTCTAATTAGGGGGCCCTAATTATTTGGACATACGGCTGCCTTCCTCTTAGTGCTCAAAGGGTCATATTGATTACATCAGGCCTTGCATTTCTCCGGGCATGCAGGGCTGCAGCCTGGGGAAGTCCCTGCATTTCTCCGGGATGCAGCCTGGGGAAGTCCCTGCATTTCTCCGGGATGCAGCCTGGGGTAGTCCCTGCATTTCTCCAGGATGCAGCGCTGCAGCCCCTGCGCTGCAGCAGTGCTGGGTTCAGCAGAGGCTGCTGCGGGCAGGGCTGCTGCTCACCTGCCTGCGCTGCCAGCCAGTGCCAGGCTCTCCAGCACGAAGGAAGGGCCAGGGCTGTGCAGAGCACTGGGGTGCTGTGCCCTGCCCGTGCTGCCCAGGGACAGGCAGGGCCAGCCCCCACCCCCCCATGGCACCGCACGATGCAGCTCGGGGGGCTCGGGGGGATGCAGCCATCAATTTTTCAGAGACAGAGAGGAAGAGCTGCCTTCCTCTTACAGGGAAAAAAGCACGGCCAAAACATGGAGGTCCATCACTGAGACACTCAGGGGACCCTGGATCGCTCTGGAGAGCAGAAACATCTCCCAGCAGATGGAGCACAGCGTCCTCCTGCTGCTCCACGAGTGCCCTGGTGGGGAACAAAACCACCTGGCACCAGAGCCAAGAGACAGGGAGGGAGGAAAGCCTCAGCTTGGCCTTGGGTTTTCACTCAGGTCATGAATTCATGTGACCAAAGAGAATTTAAATCTTATTAAAATGACAGATTCTAGATTCGAATTCTCAAGGATGGAATGAAAATTCTGAAAGAAGTTCATAATGGTAATCCTCTTTGTTTTTCCTTTTGAGTGGGGGAAGGGGAAATCCCTCTCAGAGAAAAACATAACATCAAGGGGAAAAAAAAAATTCTAAAATATGCTTAAAAGTGTAAAACCAGCCCCGCCTTTAAGCAGTGGCTCAGTGATGCATAATTAGAGCAAAGAAAGCTGCACAGAGATAAACTTGAACAGCACCCTCTGCATGGCAGATAAAGCACAAACCCCCCAAAGAACCTTATCCATCCCCAGCAGAACTATTCTCCTTAACCAGGGACACTATCTAAAAAGCAACAGCCTATCCCATCATTAACAGCTCCTCCAAACCTCTCGTTTTCCAGACCTGAAGCCCTCCTGGTGTTGGGAGGGACCTCAAAGCCCATCCAGTGCCACCCTGCCTTGGCAGCGACGCCTCCCACTGTCCCAGAAAGTTGGGACAAGCCCCATCCAGCCTGGCCTTGGGCACTGCCAGGGATCCAGGGCAGCTGTGCCAGGGCCTGCCCGCCCTCCCAGGGAAGAGCATCCTCCTAATATCTACTCCAAACCTCCTCTCTCAGTTGGAATCCATTCCCCTGTCCCGTCGCTGCAGGTCCTTGGAAGTATTTCCCAGTGTTTCCCATTTTCTGCAGATGCTGGAAGGCCACACAAGGTCACCCCAGGGCTGCTCTTCGTCCCCAGCCCCACGTCCAGTCTGCAGCAGCGATTCCTGCCCGGCCACCAAAGAGGCACCAGGACTGGGCACAGCCAGGACAGCCCAGCAGCACAGCAGGGCCACCACCCTGCAGCCCCTGGGAACCCAAAAAACCCCACAGAAAGCCCCCAGCACCCTCTGCCCGGCAGGGCTCCGAGCCCACGCTAAGGCAGGCAGCCCAAACTCGCACACCTTTGGCCAAAAGTTTCTCTGCAGTGGAAGGGAGATAAACCCCAGGTGCAGCCCAGCTGAGAGCAAGGTGCCCCACGGAGGGCAGGGGCAGAGGGCAGAGCTGGGAGCACCCAGATGTGTAACCTGTGCCAGACATCTGGAACAGCCTCCCCCAGCCCTCCGTGCCAGGCTCCGAGTGGGGCACGGCGGGCACGGCCCCGGGAGCAGAGCAGGGACCAGCCCGGGGTCACAAGGCTGGAGCAGAGGCTCGATTTACACAGCCCAGCCCAAAATAAACCCGGCCTTGGCAGCAAACACAAAAAGGAACACTGCAGCAGGACAGTGCAGGCCTGCAGAGATGCTGGCTGGGTTTGGGACCCAGCGAGCCCAACCGAGCAGCTCCACCCTTCATGCCAGCCACAGGATAACCCCAAAATACCCAAATGATCACCCAGGTAACTCCCAAGCCTCCTGGCTATTGTCTCCTGCTCAGCATCTTCCTTCCCCGTTATTTAATCAGAAAGGGCACAAAGCACTCGCTCTTGTTGTTAAAAATGAAAATTCAACAAACACGAGCTAAGTGTTACCTCTGAAAGGTGATCAAACACAACCAGGGCTTTAAAAAAGCATCATTCCATCTGAATTGCATAATTAAAACAGAGTGACAGCACCGTGAAACAACATCAGCCTGAAAGGCTCTTCATAATTCATGAGCAACTTCCTTTTCATCTCCTTTGTGTACTTCTCCAAGTAGTGTTTTTCCCAGAAGTTGACAGAGGAAGGAATATGGACGATGATCTCATTAATTGCAGGCACTAATATGCAGCGAGCTGAGAAATTACATGGAATTTCAGGCTATCTAGTCAAGAGGACAGAAAACTTCTTTGAGGTTCAAAGACAGATAAATGCCTCTTGGAGCAATAGGACAGAGTTGCAAAAGAAACTGCCTCCAAAATGCATGCTTCCTTTTTTCTTTTTATGATTTTTCTATATTTATTATAGTTTAAGTAACTCCTTGAAGGTCTAAACTTTTGCCCCTTTCCCCAGGAGCTGGACACTGTTCAGAGAGACATGAGATGGGTTTGGGCTCAGAGCAGAGCAGCTTTTGGGGCACAGGAGTCTCATCACTCACGCTGGACATCCATTCCTCAGAGTCCCTCTCAGACCCTGCAGAACCTGCCCATGGCCAGGGGACACCACGGGGGTCTCCAGAGCAGGCTCCCGGCCAGAGAAAACCCAAGGAACACTCACTTGCATCCTGCTAAGTTCCTCAGGGTTGCTGAGAATTAAACTAACAGAATTTGCCATCCCAAATCAGCTTAGGCCCAGTTCAGCAGCTGCCTCGGAGCAGGGCAGCAATTAGAGACCAGATTATCCAGCACAAAACCCCAGCCCACGGCCTGAGCTGCAGGAGTGGGGAGTGCGTTTGTCTGCAAGATAAAATAACTGTGCCCAAATAAAACAACTGTGACCTGCTCCACCTTCACCTCACCCGAAACCTGAGCAGCTCCATTCCCTCCTGCAGCATCTCCAGGCACGAAATGGATCTTCCTTCCTTGATTTTCTTCTTCATTTCCTCCTCACTTCTGGCCAGGCTCACCCCACGAGGCCAGCGCAGACCCCAGCCCTCCCCGTGAGCTCTCGGAGGGCGTTTCAGGGTGCCCACAGCCAGGGAGGTGCTGCCCCCCAGATCACCCAGCTCATTCCATAACATGATGCAAAACTCAGGCTGCCCCTAAGTCCACTAACTTCAGCCAGATTAGGGCTCTGAGCAGAGGGGCTTAGGTGGCAGCAGAAGAGGAAGCAGCAGCGGTTTGAAAGGCTGCCCTGAGTGCTCAGCAGGCTCTTTGCAGAGAGGGGAGAGAAGCCTCTTTGGCAGGGATTTGCCAGGCTGCCTTCGGATTTCTTCCCACCCCCTGCTACAGCATCTTGCAGTCGCGCGTTTCACTGAGCCCCGAGATGGTCGGTGGGGGGATAAATTCTTCCTCCCCAAAATCCTGCTTGCTTGGGAAGCCTTTAAGCAGTTGAACACGTAGAGCGGATCAAAGAGAAGGCAGATCTTATTTACCAGCTAATTCTCTTTGACTCTTCCCATCCCAGGCTGAGCCCAACCTGCTGCAAATCAGAGCATCCCCCCTGCTGCTGCAGCTTTTAAGGCGGGCTCGACAGCTCTCAGGCTTGTAGCAGTCATTATTTACCTAACAGAAAATGCTGAAATATTCCCCCAGCACTGCCTTTCCAAGGCTGGGCTTATGTCCAGATGTGGCTGCAACACCAGGCACGGCAGAGGCCAGGACAGACTCTGCTCTCCCAGCCTGCCCACTGCCACCAGAAATGAGGGGAGAGGGAAAAGAGGGAAAAGAAGTTCCCAAAAATGCCCCCGGAGTCTTAATGCATTGGGACAATCGATGGCACAGCAGCTGTTCTGCCCCATCAAGGGACTGCTTCACCCGGGCTGGCGAGGATGCCGTGAGGAGGCAGAAATGGCTTTTCTTCATTGCCTGAAGAAGGAAAAGCAGGCTCCCATCCCCGCTGGCTGACGGTGCCACGCGCCCCTGAGTGGCTCCGTGGAACTGTGGGGGATGTGGCCAGGATGAGCAGAGCACAGACCTGGCAGAGCAGAGCGGGCACAGGAGCCTGCCAGGGCTCACCTGCCACCCAACAAACACAGAGCACTTCGTGTGGCCAGCAGTGTCTCATGGCTATCGCAGTTTCCTCCATTCATATGAGGCCAGGAACAAGCTGACAGAACTTATTTCCTGCTCCAGCGGGTACCAATCCACTCCCAAGGCAGGGACGGGCTGGTGGACACAGAATCCCCCCCATCTCCCCCAGCACAGCCCTGCTGGGAGGGCTCTGAGCACTGCTACACCCGTCCTGAGCTCCCTGCAATGAAATTCAGCCCAGCAAAGAGCTGAGGAACACCCCAAAAGTCACTCTGTCAGCCAGCCACACATGAAACAGCCCCAGGAGCACGAGGGTGAGAATCCCCACGCTGGGCAGAGCTGAGCCCCAGGGTGATCGATCCACGGGTGTCGGAGACAGGCTGTGATCCTCAGCTCTGCTCTTGCTCCTCCCGTGGGCTCCAAAGCCAGAGCTGGGCAGCAGAGCCCAGCCCTGGGCCCAGCAGGAGCAGCACGGCTCTGCCTGCCTGGCTGCAGCAGAGCAGCACCCAGGGGTGCCCAGAGCCAGGGCTGGGACACCCTGCAGCCTGCTGTGAGCCCTGGACACTGCACCACCGAGGCTAGGTGAAGTGGTCTGCATTTGATGCAAAAATTGCCAGGCCGGTGCTGTGCCAGCACCAGCCACCACCCAGCTGCACCTGAGCCCCACCGAGTTTTGCCTCGGGCTGGAGAAAGACACTGTGAGACACAAGGTATGTGTTTATTGCTTGCTTTGATCTCAGCTGCTCCTCTTTCTTTGATTTCACAGTGCTGACAATATTTGCTGCACCCTGACAGAAGTTCTGGGAATATTCAATGCTGTCACAGTAATGAAGATATTAAATATGAAAGATTCTTCATGCCACAGCTCCAGTCTAGTGAGCGATCCCAGCCAGGGCAGATGAGACAAAACCAGGAGAGCCTTGTGGCCACTGTTGCAGGAGATTTTCTCAGGGCCAGGAAAACATTCTTCATGGATTGGGCCACCATTTCTAAAGTTATTTTGAGCTGTTTCAGTGCATTTTATAGAAAATAAAATGATGACAACGGCACCATCTGCTCCAGCTACCGTCACGCCAGCATGGCTGGCGTCGCTGTGGCAGCGACAGAAAGGCAGGCAGGGGAAGCCAAGGCAGGTGAGGCTGCCCGGGGAGCCCTGCTCCCCTCCTGCAGAGCCCAGCCCGGCTGCAGGAGCGCATTCCAGGGCGCCAGGGCACGGCAGGGCCAGGCCGGGTGTCCAGCAGCAGCACCAGGCGTCCCCAGCCTGGACAAGCCCAGCTGCCCCCTGGCACCCCCAGCCTCCCGCGCCCTGCTCGTCCCAGCAAGCCGCCACTGCCAGCCCCCTGGCACCCAGGCTGGGCACCAGCGTCCCCGGCCCCGCAGCGCCCAGCTCCAGCTCCAGGAAGGCCGCGGGAGCCTCTCCAGGACACTCCACAAATACAGAGAAACACAAATACAGAGCAATGACTCCCGACACGCCGGGCCCTCAGCCTAGAAAGCAGCAAACACATCGGGTCTCACCAGCTTGCGGGGCTCCAGCAGGACCTGTCCTCCCCCAGCAGCCACCCCGCAGCCAGAGCTGCGATGCCTCTTTTAGCTTCTGTCTGGCTCTGCTGAATTATTTTTGTTTTTCGTGACTCAGAGGCTCTTCAGATGAGGTCAAAAGTCACAGTGTGTTTCCTGAACATCATCTTTCATTCTTTAATGCCGAAAGACAACAAACAATAGGACATTCATCAAGTGTTTCTGCTTTGCTTTCATGTTGTTGTGTAACAGCAGAAAAACACTGTTCCCTGAAATGTTCACAACTGTATTTACTAATATGAAAAGCTCCATTTTTAAGATTAAATCTGTATCAGGTCAGTAAGAAGATAAATGCAGGGTGGGGGGAAAAAGCCTAATCTGGAAAATCTCAAGAGAGAAAACAAACAAGCATCAGCAGGAGAGCTGAGCGCAGGGATGAGAGAATCCTTCATTTCCCGACAGGGAGGGGGGGACTGGGACTCGCCAGCCCAGGGGAAGCAGGTGGGCACCCCAAAAGCAGCCGGGAGCTCCAGCCCTGCTCCAGGAGGAGCTGATCCCACTGCCCGGGGCTGGCCAGGCACCAGCGGTCGCGTCTCCCACCCCCTGCGCAAGCTCGCAGAATTCCAGCGCCAGAGCTCTTCCTTCTAACACAAAACCCCGACAGGAGCTGCATTTGTACCTTTATTCCTCCTAACAAGGGAGCACAGTTCGTGCTGAGGCACAAGACAAACGAGGATTTTACAGTAAGGATGAACAGCAAATAAAAACCTTTATACCAAAACATCCCTACTGAGCTCTCGGATGTCTCTCCCCAGCTGGTCTTTGCCCAGTTTGGGCCACTTGGGATGACAATCAAGCAGCAATCTGTCTTGTCTTGATTTTAGTTTTATGGGGCCGATGAGCAGATTCGCAGCACAAGCAGATGCAGGCAGTGTGACTAAGTGACAATCCACATGGGAACACGGACCATAAATTCAGCCAAAGAGTTGTAAAACCATTATTTCTCCTCTTAACCCAAAGGCTAAAGGAAGAAAAAGTTTAAAAAAAATCCATAATCCACATGCATTTCATCTTCCCCAGGAATTGGCCCATTTGGTGCCAATCTTCCTTCTCACAGGGATGAGGGAAATTGTCCGAATTTAAGCCTGCCCCAAGTCTCGGAATTCCAGCTCAATCTTCCCCAGTACATTTGTTAAAAATAAACGAGGTGCAATCAGCCTCCTCGGGGATTTCATCCTCTTGCAGCTCTAAATGCAGCTCTGTGTCACATGTACGGAGGGAGCGCCTGCCTGCAGCCTCTCGTCTGCCCTAAAATAATCTGGCTCGGCTCTCGGGTTCCGAGGGCTCCGTTCATGTGGCGGGGTCAGGGCTCTGTCTGCAGCACTGAAACAAAGGCTGGAGGACACGGTGTGTCAGCGCCTTGTTTGCAGCGTGCATGGATGGAGCCAGCCCCTCCGGAGAGGCTCCGAGCACACCTAAAGCGCGGCTTTGTCATCCCCGACCGAGGCGGGCAGGAGCCCTCTGCTCCCCCCAGCAAGCCCAAAAGCGTCACCCGCCTCCCACCCTGCCCCTCTGCACTGATGAGAACCATTCACGCCTTTTCCCCCGGCTGCAGCACCCCATTGCCCAGCAATCCTTACTCAAAAAGTCACTTTACACCCGCCCAGCTCCCTCCCAAGCCTGCTTCCCCCCGGCTTTTCCCCCGGGCAGGTGCTGCTCGCTGGACACAAACACCACAACCCTGAGCAGGATTTTCCCATTTAAGAATTAAGCACCGGGAGGCTCCTGGATGCTGACAGAGCAAACGGGCTCCAAAACTCCTCTACGAGCAACAGCGGCTGATGAAACCTGCTCTGGAGCTGGGCACGGCCTCAGACAGCCGTGACAATAAGCCCTGTTATTAGACACAAAAGCAGTGACATATTTGAGAGATTAAGCATTAATAAGTGCCTTCCCATTAAAGAGTATTCATTCTTCACCTCCTGCCCGGAGGGGCCCGGGGGAAGGGAGGAGCTGGCAAAGTAACCCAGCTACCACTGAAATGGGGCAAAAAGCAGAATTCCTGCAAAGTAAGCTCCAAAACCACGAAATGAGGATGCAGCTCAGCAATTCCCGGTGCTGGAATTCCACATCCTGCAGGCAGCTGGGTCCCCACCTTGC